GCCAGGCGACGGACCTGCTGGAACATCAGTGTGTGCAGGTGGAGCAAAAGCCTTTTGTGTGTGGTGTGTGTAAGATGGGCTTCTCGCTGCTCACCTCCTTGGCTCAGCATCACAACTCGCATGGCAATGGAAACAACCCAATGAAGTGCTCCATCTGTGAAAAAACCTATCGGCCAGGGTCTGGAAACGCCACTCCAACTTCGTCAGCTGCCAACCCCCAGCAGCCCTCCACCGGTGAGACTTCCGGTGGCGGTGCAGCAATCAGTGCCTCGTCTCCTCCTGCATTTGAGGCCTCAGCACCAGACAGGCCATATAAATGCTCAGTGTGCCATAAGGCCTTCCGGCATTTGTCAGAGCTGACCCGCCATGAAAGGGTACACACTGGTGAAAAGCCATATAAATGTGACACATGTGATAAAAGCTTCAGCCAATCCTCACATCTGGCACACCACCAGCGTACACACAGCTCTGAGCGGCCGTACAAATGTGCTGTGTGCGAGAAGAGCTTTAAGCACCGCTCTCACCTCGTACGGCACATGTACGCTCATTCGGGCGAGCACCTTTTCAAGTGCAATTTGTGTGAGATGCACTTTAAGGAGTCGTCTGAGCTACTGCACCATCAGTGTCAGCCAGAAGGGGAGAGGCCTTTCCGCTGCGGTTCGTGCGGAAAAAGCTTCAAGCGGCCGTCTGACCTGCGGCAACATGAACGCACCCACTCAGAGGAGCGACCTTTTCAGTGCGAGGAGTGCCAGATGAGCTTCAAACAGCAGTACGCTCTTGTACGCCACCGTCGCACTCACAAAAATCCTGCTGATCGCCCCTTCAAGTGTAACCTCTGCGATAAGGGATTCCTTCAGCCATCCCACCTGCTTTACCACCAGCAGGTTCACGGTATGGAAAGTCTGTTTAAATGTGCATCTTGCCAGAAGTCTTTCAGCCAATCAGGAGAACTGCTGAGGCATAAATGTGGTGGTGAAGTGGAGAAGCCCTATAAGTGTGATGTGTGTGGCAAAGGTTACAAAAAGAATTCGACACTGCAGCGCCACCAGAACTCTCACTGTACAGAGAAGCCGCTGAAATGCTCCCTGTGCGACAAGCGCTTTGTGTCGTCCTCCGAGTTCGTTCAGCACCGCTGCGACCCGACCCGCGAGAAGCCGCTGAAATGTCCCGACTGTGAAAAGCGCTTCCGGTACTCGTCCGAGCTGCAGCGCCATCGCCGAGTTCACACCGGGGAGAAGCCTTTCAAGTGCGCCAGCTGTGACAAGAGCTTCAAGCAACGCGAGCACCTGGCTAAGCACCAGAGTGTGCATTCGCGGGAGACACAGTTTAAGTGTGTGTGGTGTGGAGAGCGTTTTGTTGACCTCACAGCTTTGCAAGAGCACACGGTTCAGCACACTGCTGAGGGCGAGAGTTTCCCTGAAGCTCCCTGCATCCCATGAACTGCACTGCTCTTCAGTCCCGGGCAGCAAACGTGACATTTGCCCTCAAAGCAACATGTGCCAGACTCAGCTCTCCCATTTGTAGTTTATAACATGCACCCTTTAATTGTTTTATGAATTTTAGTATCCGTAAGACTCAATTCATCCTCATCCTTTATTGAGTAAAAGGCAAAACACCCTAAATCGACAGAGGGGATTGGGATCCCTCTTCTTCTTTTGGAACACATGGAAAAAACCAGAATGAAAAAGGCTTGTAAAGTAAAATGTGGGAAGATCTTGATTTTGTTTAGTACTGAGTGTGGGACCTTATTCTGTGGTTGCATGTGATTGTCTGTTTTGTAACTGTTGATTCTGTTGTTGAGAAGGATGGCAAGACCTTCCAGGCAGTCGTCAGATATGTGTGTGTTCATGTTAAGCTCCTCTGAAATCCATGTGCCTTTTTTTTTTTTCTTTTTTTTTTTTAACCGATCACTCCTTTTGTGTTATTGTTAATTTCATGTCCAGTGTAGCTGAAACCCTCCCATCCGTATTCAGCGGCCGGCTTGTGCAGCAGTATATTTTCACATACTAGACCTTAGGTAGTATCATCTGTTTGTGCATGAATATTTATCACACTTTAATATCACTGTTGTATTATAGGTTTGGTTTATTTAGGGAAACATCCTAAGAAGAAGAAAAAAACAAGTGGATTTGTGAAAATGTATAGCCTGTGTCCTATGAAATCTGTGTTGTTGCATCTTTGTATTAAAACAAATGACATCTAGGTAACTAACCCATACCTATCATGTCATACAAACACTTGACATGTGCAATAGAACATGCACAATGTAATATTTATGACTACTGATTCATGGCATAGTCTACTCTGTTATATTATAGATTGTGTGTATACGCTTATGTAAACATTGAAAACTGTATAGTGCTTATGTTACATGCTTTTGTATTCACTATGAATGAGCTTGCTGTATTTTGCAAGCACTTTAGTTTCAGTTACAGATGGATTGTCATGAGGTTTTAACCCGACAAGACTTCAATGCATTATATTGCTCACTTGCCACAAACTAGCTGCATTAGTTACTGTGCGATAGATCTAACAAAAGTATTGTTATTTTTTATTTTTTATTGAAGAATTGGCCTTCTGATATCCTCACTGGATTTTAGCCTCCTCCTGGTCCACATCAGACATTCAGCAGATTAATCCAAGTAGCCTCAAAGTTGCGACTTATGTGTTGGTTTATACCAGGGATAAAGTAAAAATAATGTGTGTACTTTAGTTTAACGTGTGGATTTCTATATTCTGTACAATCTTTGCAGTATATTTAAAAGAAGGTTTTGGAGTTTAAAAATCGTGGATAAAGGGAATAATAGTGGGCAGACGGAGGGATGGGGAGGGGAGGGGAGGGGAGGGTCTTCGGGGACTGTGTGCCATGGTTTAAGTCCTGGTGAGTCTGCTTCAAAACCTCCTGCGGGAGGATGAACGAGTGTAATGAAGCGTTGGATTTACACATATGGATATCAATATAGACTCCTGTTCATATTGTATACAGACAATTAAAATAAACCACCCTTATGAAAACGAAGGTGTACATTGTTTTCATCACAGCTAATTTTACTACATGTATTTTGTCTGTGGATTAAACTAAGGATTATTTTCATTACCGATTTGTCATTTTGTCCATAAAATGTCAAAACATTGTGAAAAAGAATGACATAATTTCAGAGTCTAAGATGGATGTTTTATACGTCTCAGAAAAACAATCCAAAACCCAAAGATATTCGTTTTACAGTGATAATTAAATTAAAATGATTGATAGATTATCAAGTAGTTACATATATATTTCATTTCGTTTGTTTTTTCAGCTATAATTAAAATGTCTGCCTTGGTTGATAAACACATATAATAGTAAATTCACCGTAAACAGCATAAAACTAAAATATACAGTAAATACAGTAGGTATAAGTGAACATCAGAGATGACCCAGATCTTGATCAGTTAAAGTACTTGTATCTGCTGTATGTGCTCTGACCACTTGTCTTAACACTGCATGGTTTTCACTGCAGGCTATTGTCAGCCACGGTTGTCAGTGGTGCGTGTGGTTTCATGACAGATTCATTACTAATGATAGTTGGCACTTTTTCTGGCCTCAGCTAACATTTGGCTCTAATGGGAACTGCTGAGTATCTGCGCCAATAAGAAAAGACCTACTTTTGGCTAGCTCTGAGATACAGAACGGACTCTTAAAGGCGAGGTCCACATTTTTTCAAGTCTGTTAAAACAAGAGATGCAAGAGACTTGATAATAAGCCTAATATGAAATGAATCCTTACCAAAATCCTCTAAAAGCAGCTTCAATTGCATGAACAAGTATTAGTAAAGTGACTTCTGCAGTTAAACATTTAATAAAATTCTGTTCAGATGATTTTAAGTTCAAATTAAATACCATAAGTTTTAGTTTGGTTTATGTCTTTATGGTCACAGTATCTCAAATTCAATTTGGTTTGGTTCACGTTTAGTGTACAAACTCATTTTGTCATAGATTTTTATCATATATTAGTCAAGGTAATTATATTAAGATTAAATTATTGCATTCAAACCATGAATAATTGGTATTAAGGTCCAAAGTCAAGTCACCATAACACCGCTTTAACCAGCCTTGATGGTGGACACAAGGCAGGTTGAATCCACAGATTTATGCTGTTGATGTTAAATTTTGTCCCAGCCATCTGCTGCCTCAGTAGAAATCCAGATTCTTCAGACCAGACTATGTCTTTCCAGTCTTCATCTGTACAGTTTTGGTGAGCCTGTGTCCACTGCAGCCGCAGATTTCTGTTCTTATCTGACAGGAGTGGAACCTGAAGTGGTCTTCTGCTGATGTTGTCCGTCTATCTCACGGTTTGATGTGTTGTTCATTGTGATGCTTTTCTACTCACTACAGTTGTAAAGAGTGGTTATTTGAGTTACCATAGGCTTTCTGTCATCTCCAACAAGTCTGACCTCTCTCCTCAACAAGGTGTTTCCCTCCACAGAACTGCTACTGGCTGGATGTTTTTGCTTGTTTTTGTCTCCATTCTGAGTAAAAACTCTCAAAGTCCTGGAGATCACATTTTTCCTCATTTTATGTTTTCCTTAACTGAAGTTCCTGAATTTTATCTGTATGATTTTATGCATTACGCTATTGCCACATGATTGGCTGATTGGATAACTGCATTAATAAACAATCTTAACATAAACTTTTTAAGTTTTTAAGTGATTTTGTTTAAAGCTGTAGACTCAAACCCAATACAACTCCTAATTTTTTTGATTCAGGGTTTTCAAGTATAGTGGAAAAGCTGGACTACTACAATAAAAATCGTTTTAAAAGTACAATTGTATGTGTTCGTGTTTTTTTTTTTTTTTTTTCAGTCTAATCGGCAATGCCTCAATCTACTCATCATAAGTAACCTGTTGATAATTAATATAATTAATATATTAAAATGTATTTTTGTTGAACCCACCTGCCATTTATTGTTAGCGATTTCCAGGGTCGCCGAGTCTGCCGATTCACTTCCGGGGGATGGTTACTGCAAAAGGGAAGATCATCCTTCTTCTGCTAAACCACCACCTCTCTGACAACATTATTAAATCCCCGATTTTGCGGATTTTACTCACATTATCGGCAACTCCAGAACCGTTGGTGCCTCGTCGCGAAACGTCCCGCTAGTGCTAAGTGCTAACGGGCTAACGTTCATGTCGGGCGGACTTCCTCTGAGCTCCGGCGTTTCTACGACGAGGTTAGCCGGCTAACTTTAGCCCCGTAACTGATTTCCCATTTCACTAATCTCGACACTAATACAGACAATGCAGTGTACACATGTTTCTTGTTCAAAATAATACAACATCTCAGTATATAAATTTCTCTGCCTTGCTGCACGCGAACTTCAAGTTTTATCATTGTATGTGTTGCTAAGTAACCTCGGTCACCGTAACTACGGCTAGCTAGTTAGCGGTAGATTAAATGATCGCAAATGATGCTGAGGCTCCCAGATTGGATTAAATGTTGAGATAACTTGTCGGTAACCAGTAAGATTAATGTTTACTCGACTCGTCTAAAGTGTAAATACCAGCTGTGGGGCCGGTAGAAAAGGCCCCGCGGAGCCCGTGTCGTGACGGGCTCCATACACACTTTAGTGTCTGTGGGCTTGGGGGCTTTGGGGAAACTGGTACTCACAGGGAAACAACATTTACCATGACACCAGCCAAGACATTTTAATGCTTTAGTCCAGGTTTGATGAGTCTATATGTAGTGGTTTTAAGCTAGGTGGTCTGATGTGGTCTGGATGGAGAGAATTGCCATTCCTTCATGTTTTCTCAAAGAGAATAAAATGACGGCTTCACAAACCTAAAAATGGGTCTTAAACAGTCTTTAGAGTCTATATGTTAATCTGGTCCAGGTTTGACAAGTCTAAGGACTGTGTTTTTACTGAAGAGAAAGACCAGTGTTGTGTGTATTGTGAAAAAAGAGAGAGAATAAAAATTTATATGCTATGAAAAGGGGGGTTGGGATAAAATGGTTGTTGGGATATTAAATGAACAGCACAGGGACTAACTGGCAACTAAACTCCCCTGTATTGTTTATCTAATCCAGGTTAGACACCTGTAAGGGCAGTGTTTTTTTTTTTTGTTTTGTTTTTTTTTAATGTTGACCTGGTCTAATGTGGTCTGAGTAGAGGAAATGCAGTGAAGAGTTTGTAGAGTCTCCATGTTAATCAAGTCCACATTTGACATGTCGAAGTTTAGGGGCATTTGGTCTGTACCTCCTCTGATACAGTTTCATTGGAGGAAAAAGCATTGAAATTGTTAAAAAATCTCTCAAATAAAATAGGGGCTTTTGAAACACGGTTAGGGCCATACATGTAGTGCCGGTTTTCACACCTTAAAACAGCGTGACAACAGAGAGTCATACAAGTACAGCAGCAAAAATTAGCCAATTCATTTATTAGTCAGTTGACAGGAAAAAAGTAATATAAAAGTTTTAGTCTTGTCTTTATTTTTTAAGCAAACACACCTAAGTTTGTCTTGTTATAGCTTCACAAGTGTGAGGATTTGATGTTTTTTTCTGGTCATATACCAAAAATAAACTATATATCTTTGGGGTTTGGACAGATGGTTGAAAAAAACATGCAATATATCACCTTGGGCTGTGGGAAATTTACTGTATATCAGAAGCCAACGTCAGCCTCATTGTTATTGCATCCTTTATTTGAGTGCTCTGCCTCACCTCTTCTCTACCCTGTCTCTCTGCAGCTGGCGGGTCTTCATCCCATCCTGTCTAACATCCTACTCAGGGGCTTCACACACTCAGTCCTCGTAGCTTTGTCGGTCTGCACAACCGCTGCGTCAGACCGGCCTGACGTCTTTCATCAGAGGCCTCAAGAAGCCAAAGCCAATGGTAAGCACAGCACAGGGATCTTAGAGCCCCGTATTCTGGAGAGTGGGTGTGCTGCCTTCCAGTATCGAGCCAACAAGTATTCTGTGGGAGGGGAAGGTCCTCGACACGGAGCCTCAAAGCTAGCAATGCCCGGATCCACGCCGGCCAGCAGCAAGGCTCGGGTGTATACCGATGTCAACACACAGAAGAACAGAGAGTACTGGGACTACGATGCACACGTGCCAAACTGGAGGTACAGTTAAATGTGTGACATACGCAAAACATTACAGACCCAAGGGTGTTGACACGCTGCATTGATTCAGTCATCTATATGCTCAATTATAAAACTTAGCAAATATGAGGTGTTTGTATTCTTAGAATAGATCATGTGAGTTTCTGTTTATGAGAGGACAGCATTTTGTGTTGAAAGGTACAAATGTAGTGAGTCAGTTTGGCTGTTTGCTTTAAGAGTTTTACATATTGAAACTCTGTTGTGAAAACTGAGCCAAAGCAATAAAATACTGCAAATCAATGTTTTACACACAGTGTCAACATTAATGTGCAGGGGAATAAACCTGATTAGTCAGTGGAGGCTACTTCAACAGAGAGACTGGAGTCCAGTGGGGTCCAAAAGACCTTGGAACTTGTGAAGGGTATTTTTCACTATCCTCTGACATCTTCTAGACTAAATGAATTGATTAATTGAAGAAAATAATTGATTCCTAGATAATTGAAATAATCACTAGTTTCCTCCCTGTTAGTGTGCGGCATAAAATTCCCAAACGCAATGTCCTTTAGTACTGCAACTAATGATTCTGATTAGTTTTATGATTAAACAATCATTTAAATATTCAAAATGTCAGAAAATATTGATAAATGCCTCCCTGAATTCACTAGAGCCCAGTGTCATATTTTCAATATGTTTTGTCTGATCAACCGCCCAAAACTCAGAGGTTTGATTCACAATGATATAATCAGAGAAATAATAAAATCATAAATGACTTAAGTGAGTAATGTGTTATCAAAATTATTTGATGAATTGTTTTTTCATTGGTCATTTTAGAAGGTTATTGTTGTTTGCACATGTTCTTATGATTATGTTTAAAGTTCATTTACTCTTAAATTACTGCTGAATGTTTTCACTCTTTCTCCTCAGCAATCAAGACAACTATCAGCTGGTGCGCAAACTGGGGCGAGGGAAGTACAGTGAAGTGTTTGAGGCCATAAATGTGACCAACAATGAGAAGGTGGTGGTTAAAATCCTCAAGGTGAATCCCATACAGTATTTACCCGGGTTTCTTCCCTGTTTTTCTATGTGAGCTTGTCTTGCTCTCTTGTCTGCGATGTCCATCTTCACCTCTTCATAGAGCTTTATTTGCAGTTCAAACTTGTTGTCCAGATGTAATGTTGGTGCTGATTTTAATCTATGTTTATATCCTCTCAGAGAACTGGATATGTAAACTATATAAGTGCAGTTATGCATCCCAGCAGGTAGAGGTGCTCCTACTCACAGCAGGTCACTTTGCTGGTTCAGCTTCACACTAACATGGGAAGTTTGTATCAGTCAGCCTTTCATCAAAGTCTTTGTTTAGTTGCAAAAGAGCAGAATGTCTGCACAGCAGCTGAGCAGCAAGTACCTTCTCATGTGATTAAATGAGGTGTGAATATACATGTTCTTAAAATAATGGAAGTAGAAGGGGCTCATTAAGTATAGCTTATTATTTCAAATTAATGACAGAATAGACCAGGCCTTCCAAATCTTTGAACTTTTTAAAAAAAAATTTTTTTTTTTTATCCTTAATTTTAAAATGATTTTTTAAATTAAAAATCCTCTCTGGACATATTTTAAGACATGAAAATACTCTGCTTAGATAATTTGTGTCTGATGTTTTCTGCACAAAAAGTTGAATTAACTGACTAAAAACTCTAAAAATGGCCTCTCTTCCTTCTTCCTCATTGAAAAATCCAGAATCTGTGAATAGGAAAAGAAAATAAATTTCAAAAGTTTTACGATCAGACACAAAATGTGTGTTTCCACTCTCAGTGTATGTGCACTGGAGGCTTCAAGTTTCCACATCACACTTGTGTAAGTTGCATACTGGACCACAGTTGGCTTTCAATGACACTCATTGTGATTTCACTAATAAAACTCTTGCGTACACATCTTTAAGATTCAAGATGAGCACAGAGGAACTTTCCACCCTCAGCATCGCTCCAATGTCAAACTCTGCTCATGCATCATCTATTTTTGAGTGGAAAACTAAAACTCCACACCACATGTTGGCAACATCATTTCTAGGTCACTGCGGTGATGTTAAAAAATGTGGGAATGTTCAGTCACTTTTATTATACCATTAGTTTTCAGTTTATTAGGTGCACCTAGCTCAAACTAATGCAGTCTACAACAGTCCTGCAGTAAATCTTCCTCCGTGAAGGTGATAATGTTCAGTTTTTATTGAAATAGTTATAGAGAGGTTTAGCATCTCTCTGGTTGTTCTACTTGTCTCTGTAGTCTTCTAATTGAGTTATGTGGCTTTCAAACAAGGTCACAGTAACTCATGACTTATATTGATAGGAATTATAGATGCTGTAGAAATATGGTATAAAAGTCAATAAATTCAAGTTCCTTATGAATAATTGTCAGCCTTACTGTTTGTTTTCCTCCATTCTTCACCTGGTAAGACCATGAAGAAGATATTGAATTGTAGTGCAGTATTTAAAAGGTCTCAATAAGTGACCATTGCTAAAACCCTGCATTACTGGGTGTTGTTTTTTTGTTTTATTTCATTTTTGATCTTCTGTTGAATGTGGATCGTTATGTTGAATCGCTTGTTTTTGTTCGCAGCCCGTCAAGAAGAAGAAGATCAAAAGGGAAATCAAAATTCTTGAAAACCTGCGTGGGGGTACCAACATCATCCGGCTGGTCGACACGGTCAAAGACCCAGTGGTGAGTTAGACCAACAGTCACTGTGCTGCATGTCGGCTGCCAGCAGTGATAATCCAGTCATGCTTGTAAGTGTGTGTATGTGTGTGCGCGCGTGTGCGTGTGGGTACAGTGATAATGATCTCCACCTACCTGCTGATCTCCTCAGTTAAGCCTTGTGTTGTCCTCTCTTTGCAGTCCAGAACACCAGCGCTTGTCTTTGAGTGCATCAATAACACAGATTTTAAGGTACCTAAGTTGTGGCTGACATCATACATGCAGAACTACCAGCAGAGTTACCATCCATGCAAATGCATTGATATCCATTATTAATAACACGCATAACCCTCCAGTTAGTTTTGTACATGTAAAGAGTCTCATTTACATCATGTAACTAATGATTTATATGAACATTTTATACATGAATGTCTTTTATCTGTTCGACAGGAGCTTTACCAGAAGCTGACAGACTATGATATCCGTTACTACATGTATGAGCTGCTCAAGGTAAAAACATCTAGTTGACATCATTTATCTAGTTGCTACCGTCACTAAAGGCAGAATGTTACAGGAATGAAGGTCTGAACACGTCCCTGTCTTCTCTTTAAGGCTCTGGACTACTGTCACAGTATGGGGATCATGCACAGGGACGTGAAGCCCCACAACGTGATGATCGACCACCAGCTGAGAAAGGTACAGCTCACACTCATTTTTTATCTAATTTTTTTGCTTCAAATAGTTTAGTCAAGGTTGTTTATCAGTAACAGTTAAGCTGTTGTCATAATGTCAGATTGTGACACTGTAAAGCAATGATATATGATTGACTTAGTTACACTATGGTCTGTGGTCTTGCAGCCCTGATGCACTGTAAGAATGAGTGAACAAGTTGAACAGGTGAAAACAAAGAGTCAGGCTAGCTGTTTCCCCCTGCTAACTGTCTACTGGCTGTAGCTTAACTGAATATGGGAATGATGTTTTCAATAACGTCTTGTCAAGAAAGCAAATAAGCAAATTTCCAAAAAATGCTGAACTATTCTTTAAGTGAAATAACTTTCAGTTGATGGGCTCCTGTATAAATAGAAAATTCCAACAATAATATGACTACAAATCAATATCACAATCACTATATATTTTATTTGATAATGAAATAATAACAAATCACAGCTGTTTTACCTCTTGAGTAATGTAGAATTATTTGTTTAAAGTTATTGTTTGAACTTTTCCTTCTTTAGAATAAAAAGTAGAACAGAGAGACGACCATGCAACCATTTAACTGGGTCAACAAAATTCACAAAATCCTGTCTTGGACCACCTCCTCCCAGCCAGAAGCATTTACCTTGTCATTTAAACCAGATTAATGTGTGTTTTCTTTTTGTGTCACAGCTTCGTCTCATAGACTGGGGTTTGGCAGAATTTTACCATCCTGCTCAGGAATACAACGTCAGGGTGGCTTCCCGCTATTTCAAAGGCCCTGAGCTGCTAGTGGACTATCAGGTACCTGCTGTTACAGTTATTCTCTCTGCTCTGAATTTACTTAGGGAAAAAAACACACACCTCCTTAAGGATGTGTTACAGTACAGTCTCTTGTCCTTTTTCCAGATGTATGACTATAGTTTGGACATGTGGAGTCTAGGCTGCATGTTGGCCAGCATGATCTTCCTGAAGGAACCGTTTTTTCATGGCCAGGACAACTATGATCAGGTAATGGCTCAGGAACAGAAAGAACACGTCGCACTTAATTTGTTGTAATTATAATAGAATGTATCCTCAGCATGTAACTGACCTATTAAATGTGCATGTACGTTGTTTCCCAGCTGGTCCGCATCGCTAAGGTTCTGGGCACCGACGAGCTCTTCGGCTACCTGCACAAATATCACATAGAACTGGACACTCGCTTCAAAGACCTGCTGGGACAGTGAGTATCAGCAGAGGAGGGAAGAGTGATGAGTACAGTATCAGATAACGTTCACATCAACCAACAGAAATGAATTCAAATTTATTCAAAATGGCTGAAACTCAACCAATATAATATGTTAATATAATAATAATAATAATTTCATATGCAAAGCTGCTGTTGTGAAGAGGGAGGTCCGTGCTAAGTCACAAAGGAGCCTGTTGTTGAGCAGCCAAACAGCTGCAGTGTGTTACTAACTGCTTCAGGTTGACACATTAGTTTTTCTTTATCAAGCTGGTTTTCTGAAAGACTTCAGATTTATGTCCCAAAGAGCATTTCACCATAGACCACCATTGTAAAAGAGACACCTGTGAACCTGTTGACAGGTCACCTTCAGCTCTTACTCTTTGTATTGTATCTTTTCAGCCATGTGGTTTTAATCTTTGTAAAAGATAAAAGCCCAGAAAAGTTTTTTTTTTCCCTGAATGATCGAGCACTCTACATGTGTTAATGCCGTGTCTCAAGAACAAGGATGCTTGCTGGGTTAAACGCTGTGCACGTGCAAAATTAAAGGGAAAAAAATGAATTACACAAAGGCGTCATTTTCACACATCAAGATATTTTGATCTTGTGGTTTTGCATCACATTTATTGGTCTCTTCTTGGCCTTTATTCTCGAACTAAATTGTTTTGTTTTTAGTCGAGATCATGTTTTAAAACTCGCTGAACACCAATGTGTGCCTGCTAATAAAATTACTATTGAAATGTAGCCAGATGTCCAGAAAATGTAAGTGTGACACTGTCAAGATGTCTGCTGTGAAAACTGGCTGTTATTGCTTTTGTAAATTACTTATTTTGAATAGTTGTATCTGTATTGTTGTTACTATACATTAGCTGTTATTGCACCAGTATTTATTAGCAGCTAAAGGAGGTTATTAAGTATGAGTTCAACTTCTGTTTTAGCAGTAATATTATACTATTATGTCCAACCTGCTTTGACTGTCAGATTACCACCCTAAACATAGATCAGCACTGTGAACATACTCTTATAAATAAGATATACATTAAATAAAGAGTATGTGCTAAGTTGACTCACATTAAATGTTGCTTGTTTACGTCCAGGCAAACACGGAAGCGCTGGGAGCAGTTCATCCAGTCAGAGAACCAGCACCTGGTGAGTCCAGAGGCTCTGGACCTGCTGGACAAGCTGCTGCGCTACGACCACCAGCAGAGGCTGACGGCAGCTGAGGCCATGCAGCACCCATACTTCTGTAAGTATCACCTGTACACAGGGTGTCCGGCTGTCACAACCACTAACGTGTGCATGGTAACACGCTAACAGCCAGGAGAAGGAACTTATTGAAGCAGGTTCTGATCCTGTAAAAGCATAGCGAAAAACAAACTTCCTGTTTCATTTTGATGCATCCGAATGAAGTAGCTGTCAGAATATTTGCCCTCAGTCTTGTCAATGGAATCGGCTTCCTGCAGAACGGTATAAAAAGAACAGTCACTAGTTCCACTGTGTAACGGTGTGGGAGTAGTATTAGTATGTACACAGCGATCGAATGAGTCATATTCCGATTGCATTGAGGACATGGATGGATAACTGAACGGTACTGCAGCCTCTTTTATGAAGTGACTGTTAATTGCTGGAGAGTCATTCAGACGACTACAAGAGATGCAAATAGAGTAAAAATACATGCAAAATGACTCTTTTAATAAATGACCCTTAATGCCTGCGCTCATGAGCGCAGTGTCTCCTAATCCATCCAGAGTGGAGCGTCAACAGTTCAGTCACCAGGATAACACATATGTGTATTTGCTTCATTTACATAAGACCTGTGTTTTAATTGTTTTGTTGTGAGCTGTTGCAGATAAAGTGACAGTGACTGTGTCTTTGTCCCTCAGATCCTGTGGTGAAGGAACACGCTAATGCTAACACCGACAGCACAAAGGCAATAAGCAGCTCCAATGCAACATGATAACCAGAGAGCAGGTAACGCACACAGCATAGACACTTTTTTAAACACACAGTTCTGTGTAAAAGTTTTAGGCAATAAAAGTGAAGTGAGGACGCGATCAGTATGAGACCTCCCTGATGGTATTAGAATCTAAACATCTAAAGTGCCTAAAACATTTGCACAGTATTGTACAGAGACTGAGTTGTCAATTTATTAGGAACACCCAGTTAAAATGAATGCAGTCTAGTACAGTCCTGCAGTAAATCCTCCTTCGTGAAGCTTAAAATGTTCAGTTTGTGTTGCAGTGTTTTTACAGATTCAACTGTGATCATTTTGGAGGATGTAGTTTGTGCGGCTGTTGAATTCTGTTACACTGACAGGTGTTTCTATTATTTTGTCCATCCCATTTCTATCAATGAGTGTAAATAGCAAACACCTGTCTGTATAATGCAACACAGTTCAACAGCAGCGCTCCTCACATTTCTATAATGAGAGAGTCTAACAGATGTGTTTGACTATTATCATCAATATTACTGTCAGTGTTTGATGATTCTGTTTTTTCCTCTGTCCACTCAGGAAGAATCTTTGTTACCTCAACTTGTGACCTTTTCGTGGCAGAAACCTCTGCCTCCACATCAACAGCCATACTGGAGTAAGATGTCAACTTTGCAGCATAAACAAACTCGCACGGATTAAACTTCTCCAAAAACAGAGCCCGGGGGAATCTGCGCTGCTTGGTCCAAGTCACAAATAAATCAGATCTGAAATCAGATCCGACCCCCACCCTCCTTCCTTCTCCTCCTCCTCCTCTTTCTCTCCCTCTCCTTCCTCCTCCGCCTCCCAACATCACCCTCAACCTGTTTTTAAAATGAGCAAACTGACTGTTGGATCAGAATCAAGCCAGTGTCGTTGCTGTAAAGACATTTGTCGGTCATTGCGACGCTGTGGTGACCTGAGATCCAGTTCCAGGTTTTAGCACTGAGTGGCATGGAGGCTCTTTTCTGCTATGGATAGAACAAAAGCTATATTGAAAGAGAATAAACCGTTTTTATTTAAACATGTGTTGGACTTTTATTGCCACAGGAGCCCCATGACCTTTTAGGCCCCTGGGCCCATGTCTAGTAAGGTTCGGTAATCAGTTCACACAATTACCACAACTGTGCTTTTAATCGTGTTGTCATTTACATTTTTGGCAAATTGGCACCATTAACCGTGTGCCAAATGAGCTATTAGTTTGTCTTTACAGTGTACCAGTGTTTGTACAGAAAACTATCACTGTCACTTTGATACTGAAGAAAACTTTAAAATATGATGATTCTCAAGCAAGTTGAGTAGTTAAGTGAACTCTGTTTGTCCAGGTCGTCGGCTCTTGTTTTGGTGCATCAAGAAACAAACGAGAGCTCGTCAAGTGTGTGTACTTTTTAATAAATAACCTGGAAAATCAAGATGTTTTCCAGAACATAAAACACTTGTGCAACATTCGTGCGTTACAAATAGGTGCATTCGTTTAGGGCCCAGGTTGATGAGGTCAGCAGACGAATTTAAAACGTATCTGCTTCATCAAATGGCTAAAATTGTAAACACAGCAGAGTAAATGTCAATCACACGTTAAACTTCAAATCCAAGTATTTAAAATGCATCATAGAAGTGGAGTTCACATTTTGGTTGAGTGTTTAAGTTAAAAACTGGGACTGCTGAACCAGCTGATGCTGGTCAGCCCACGTCCTTTTTGCTGTGATTAGTTTTTTCAGTCTGTCAGTGTTAATTCAGCTCACAGACAACGTGGCCCATAATGAATGCCCTGACTGACATCTGAAGTTTGAAGTGTCAAACACAGTAAAAAGCAGCCTACAAACACACGGCTAGCTACAGCAGATGAGCTCGACACCCATCGAAGGCACGCCCACAACACCCCCCGCTTCCTCCTCAGCCAGCGACTCGAGTCTGGGTGAGGATGGAAGACGACTGGCTGGAGTTTGGCTGCGTCACAAAAAGCCCAGCAGTGTATTAAAGATGCCACTCAGGCACTTTTTCATCATGTTAAAAGGAACAGTTTCACATTTTGGAGAAACTGTGGCGATGTTAAATGAGAAGATCCCAGTCTCACATCCGTCAGTTGAATATGACGCTACAGCCAGCGGCCGTTAGCTTAGCATAAAGACCGGAAACAAGGGGAAACAGCTAGCCTGGCTCTGTTCGAAATGTAAATACCACAATTGGACATTTCGCAGGGAGTTATGTACCGCATTATTTGTCAAGCTTAGCACTTACACAGTTTATAATGAAACCGATTTAGTATCAAAATCCTCAGTCATTTTTGAAACAATGAGTCCTCGATATCAGGCAGAGGCAACAACAATCGGTATCGGCATCAGAACTGATATCGAACCTTTTTGATACGATACCGGCAGATTTCATGAGTTGCAGCTCACTGGCTAATTAAGCAAACAATAGTTCCCTAAGTTGATTTAACACTTTCTCTCCAGCTGACTTTTTATCTTTCAAGGTGACTCTTCAACGTTGATACACATTTTAACATAACCTGGAACCCCATGAACTAATGTACGGTCAGTTATGATTATTTTGTGACCACATAAAAAAAAAATAAAAAAAAAACTACAAACATGGCAGTGCAGGTACAGCATTGTAACTTTTTTTTTTGTCCATATCCATAAAACTCACCAACTCTCTTCTAAAAGTCATTTTCAACTTTCTAAAAACTTCTGCACTTCAGGCGTCTCTGTGCTGCTGTTAGTATAGATGTCATAACTTCAACTCACTCATGCACTGAAAATATTCAATAATCAACAGTTAGATCATTTTCCAAAAACACTAACGTCCTTGTTTAAAACACATGTAACGCGGTCTGTGTTTCATGGATAAGGTTTAAAGTGTCGGTGGATTTTGAACTAGGTTTTCTTACTTCAGGAGCAAAACCCAGAAGTTATAAATGGACTGTATAGCACTTTTCTAGTCTTGTCGACCACTCAAAGCCACATTGGATGCCACATTCATCCATTCACACACTGATGGAACAGGCAATTTGAGGTTCAGTATCTTCCCCAAGGACACGTCGACATGCGGAGGAGGAGCTTCTGATTAGTGTACGACCTGCTCCGCCTCCTGAGCCACAGCCGCCCCGTGGTTCCGGTTCCTGTTTCATTTTGGTTTTCTATTGTTACGACATGTAGAGAAGTCTAAAGTTTGCGCCTCAGGAGAGTTTCTAATCTATGATTAAACAATCATTGTTGGGAGGAGGCAAAACAGTCTGACAGAGCTGCGCTGAGCTTCACGCCGTCTCCAGCTACACACTGAACGAACATGCATGAGAGAGGCACCGATCTTCTCATCGAACTCTCAGGGAACAAAGATAATACGCATGTTTCCCAGAATGTTGAACTGTCCCTTTAACGTAGCAAAAAGAAAACTGGCTGCCGCGCCGGGAGGTGGGAGCTCGGGGACGGGTCACATCACAGTAGCGTACTGATATCCAAAGACCACCAAGGACACTGATAAGACAGAAACAACACAGCTGATTATCTTCTTAATAACACTGATATTTTAAAAACCTCCCTGGGGAATATCTTAATATCTGACTGAGTCCACTGGCACTTGATATTTTAAAGATTCATGGCCTCAGTTGTCACTTCCCCAGGGCTTAAATAACGTGTCCTTGGTGTCCTTTTTAAAATGCAAACAATCTAAGGCATAAAAAAATGTCTAAAAAAAAAAAAAAGGTATAAAGCTAATACCAGAGACATTCAGTCTGTTCTCTCAAAGTAAAAAACTTAAATACTTGCATAAATAAAGCGTGTGATTATGAATGTTGAAAGCTGTACACGACGTGTTAGCAGTGCCCTGTACAGGCGTCGGGTGCAGTGATTATGTATGAGTCTACATATATAATGTTGGTTATAGCGTAGAGTTGCAGTATTGAGGTAACTTCATAATGGGAGTAAAGGCAAAGGGGGGAGGGGGGGGGGCACTTGAACTGTACTAGGCTCTGTGAAAAAGCCACATAGACATGCATTGGACAAAGGTGATAATGTAGATAGAGGTGTTAGTGTGTTTGTCCCTTTTTGTTCAAGTTTTACAAAAACAATTGCTCAAATAAAGCATCAGTAATACTGGATATTTGACGTGAGATTTTGGGCACCACATGATACAGTCCCATGTACCAGCATCCTCCACTTCTTCTTCTTCTTCTTCTTCTGGGCTCCAGATGGCACGGGGGGAGCGGTCAGGGCAGCAGATGCTGCAGCGCCAAGTCGTCCAGCTCGTTGACGGCGACGATGTGATCCAGATGTTGCAGGTACCGCTCCGGGTCGCGCATGAAGTGCGGGATTCTAGTCCTGGGGAACACCGCCAGATGTCGCAGCCTCTCCACGTCTTCGTAAGACACCTGCAGAGGGAAAGGAGACAGTAGAAAAGGTTTCCATTGCAACATAGAAGCGATTTCTTTTTCGGCAAAACACAATTGCAAATTGTAGGAACTCTGTCACCTGGTCCATAAATCCAGTCAGTGTGAAGCCGATTTTTGTTAAATCACCTCAGAAGTCCTGCAGGGGGCAGCGGCTGCTCAGGAAGCCCCTCTACATCTGCTTCCAACACTGTCTTTTAATTTGTCCATAATACTCAAACCCAGCATGGGTCCTCTGTCTGTTTGATAATTCCCAGATTCCTGTTGTTCTTTATATTACTGTGTTTTTATTTGTCCCTTTAGAAATAAAGTTTACTTGCTGCTTCTCTGCGCATGTGAACACACAGGGGCCTCCATGATGATGATAAACGCTCGTACTTGAATGAATTAACACTGACCTTGCCTAAAGAAGTCAACATCTTGAAGTCGATAGAGCGTCGATGGCGAAGAATCCTCAGGATCCCGTCCAGATAAACCTGATCTTTACTGAAGCAACCTGCGACAGAAACACACGACACACAGGGAGAATAAAAATAAAAACAGTTCACATCTGTGAAACTAAGTTATTCTACTGTAGAAGTGTGTTCACTGTTCTGTTCTTATTTCTCTCACATTGTTTACATGTGTACATGAGCAGCTCCATAGCTACAAGAGGAGGAAACTTCCCCTGTTAACCTTTCATCAGAGTTAGTGTTTTAACGCCACAGTTTACACATGTTGAGTCATTTCTATCCTTGATTTATCAGACAACCATTCATTTGAAAAGCTGGATAATTAATCATAATTTCATACTAATGTATTATTTGTTAGATTGATATAATTATCAGTATTATCAGGGAGGCGTCTGATCAGTGCCATAAAAATCAATCTCCAGAGACAAGAAGAACAAAGAGTCCTGCAGCAGATGGTCTGATCTGATCTGAGGAGTCCTGATCTCAACATCATGGAGTCACACTGGGATCACATGAAGAGACAGAGACACTGAGACAGAGGAACTGTGGCAGGTTCTCCCAGATGCCAAGAACCTGAAGAACTGTGAGCAGGTGCACTGACGAGAACGAGAACTGATTTAGGTTTTTTTTCTCTTGACTGCACTTCGTATGAAGATCACTGATAAATAAAGACTGAAAGCAGAGCTGTCGTAGTGGATCACTTCAGATCGTACAGGTTCACCACTGAGTGTGTTCATTCAGGAAACAGCAGCAACATTCATGTTTTCAGAGGTTGTTTTCTTGTCATGTGGGACGTTATGTGCCGCCCTCCCTCCAGTTTTTGAAACTAAACCTACGCCCTCTGTGTGTGTGTGTGTGTGTGTGTGTGTGTGTGTGTGTGTGTGTGTGTGTGTGTGTGTGTGTGTGTGTGTTCACCGGGCTGCGAGGTGTCCGTCTGTCCCCTCTTGGCTCTCAGACAGTACTCCCAGCGGACGTCTGGGTCCTGGACGAAGCGTGCGATGTGACTGAAGAGCTGGCTGAAGCTCATGCTGGTGGCGTGGTACACTGTGTAGTAGAGCAGAGCCGCGCGCCACAGGTAGGGCTGTTTCCGTAGCAACACGCTGTGCAGGCTGGCTAGGCCTTCCTCCGTGGGATTGGCCGGTTTAAGGCCGAACTGCTTCCTGCCTTCTGTGGTGGCCCACGGCTGCAGGTTGTTGTTGACGCCTCGCAGGTAATGTGTGCCTGAGGAGAGGACACAACCACGTTAGAAAACAGAAAACCCACCTTCAAACACTTCAACACCTCATCAATTAGTTGCTGTGAAAAAAAAACCCCAAACACTATGTGATGTTTATATGTTATATAACATATGTGATGGTTGAACGTGTCATTACGCCACAGGTATTAATCTGCTGCTTTAACAGCCTCCACTCTCAGATGTTGAACCTGGCTGCAGGGATTTGCTCCCATTCAGCCACATAAGCATTAGTGAGGTCCAACACCGACGCTGTGTCTTAAGGTCTGGTTCACAGTTTTACTCCAGTTCATCTCAAAAGGTGCTGGACGGGGCTGAGGTCAAGACCAATCCACACAAAGCTCTAGAGCTGGTTTTGTTTTGCTGGTGTCATGTTGCAACAGTTTTCCCGAAACTGTTGCCTAAATATGGGAAGAACACTGTCATCTGAAACATCACTGTTTCAGCATTTAGATCTTAACTGAAACCAAGAGTTGCTAACCGTGAAAAACATCCCCTGACCAAAGGCAGCATGTGACCGGGGTGATTCGACTCCTCTACACTCCCTAAACTGCCTCTTTACGTCACTCTATTGTCTCTCTGCCTCCCATTTAAAAGCAAAGAGGAGGAGGTCAATATACTGAAATGTATATTCTGGGAAGCGAGAAACCGCACACCGAGAGGCGACACCTCACCTCCAGGCTTGGTCACCTGTCTGTGGGCTTCAGACTGTTGTAAGATCATATGACCCTGGAGATTTTTATTTGAGAAGATCATATGATGGATGATGTTCAAACAGCTTGGGTGCAACATTACAGCTGCCTTTTTTTTTTCTCTGACACCACCCTCTGGATATTTTTTCCGTCACTGCCACTGAGGATCAGCTTTTATCTTTCTATAATTTGGTTCTTTATAATGAACAGTGCAACCTCACAGAGGTGTGGCTGTAGACGCTTCGTCTTTTCACAGCCTCTCTACTTACAAACACTCAGAACTTTATTAACTAGTTAGGATGATTTATAATCAGCTGACTTCCTGCTGACAGTTCTTGACCTGCCTTACAACTTACAACCTCCTAAGTAGTTAAATTCTTATTAGTAGTCAAACTTTTGCACATGTAGCAACTATGGTTTATTTTTTTCTATTTTTTAAGTCCATGAAATAAAAAGTAAAAGAGCAGTAACATTTGTAGGAAGGTTCAGTTTAAAGTCTGTTTGCTGCAGAGATTTTATTTACTTATTTTCACTAAATGTCTGTACAACTGTGTGTTTCACCCACTTTATGCGTTTATGCACTGCGTGTCTGCAGCTGTGTTTTTAGTGGCTGCTTCGAGGCAGTTTCTTCACTGAAAGAACAATAAAGTGAAACGTTTTCAGTCTCTCAGAGTCAAACAGCAGGACTTCCTTCTTTGCACCAACATTCAACAACCACAGAGGAAGAAACCCAGACCAAGTTCTACATGAACCTTTCAACACTTCATAACCAGTTCACTCACAGACATCTGAACATCAGAATGACATCTTTCAGCATTATATCAAGTGCTGAACATCAGTGATCAACTAAATACATTTTTTTTTTTTTTAAATGAAAAAATACTGAAAACGTCAGACAGTGATTGGCAAAATATGTACTGTATATATCCACATACTCACAGACATGGAGGGAATCCTCCTGGAGAAACCTGATTTATTTCTTTAATCACATAGAAGGTAAAAAGTGAGGACCTGCAGCTCGTTTCTAAAGTGCTTCAACAGACACTAGATATGAGGTCCCCATGAGTTGTTGTGTAATTTGATTTTTGTAATGTTCTTTTATTCTTCACTCTGAACGGGTGTGATATTAGCATGCTAACATTAGCTTTGTCGGCTGTTACACCTGCCAGTTACTGGGTTTAACTAGCAATGATCTCTGTTAGAACTAGCTCATGTGGTGGTACCGGTTTTGATTTAGCGATGTGCAAATCACCACTTAGTAAACACACAAAACTAGTTTACGTTTGAATTTAGGAACAGATCTCAACCCAGTCTCTGAGTTTGGGTTATTTTCAACTTTATTTACAATCACTGAGTGTCAAATCCAAACGGATCCAACAAGGATTCAGGTCTGATTAAATGCTACTGAACCACAACTCTTCTGCAAATCCTGTCACCGTAGAAAAGACGATGATTTTACTGTGTTTAAGAAGAACTCTACACAGATGCTTTTTGGCATATGATGTAAATAAAGGTGATTTTTCCAACAATACAGAGAATGTGTGTAAAATACCTGTTTTTCCCTCAAAATTAGCTTCTATATGTCTGCTTGGATTTGAGAATTCAGCTCCTAACTGTGTTCGAACAGGCCCCAAACTTGCCAGTATCAAAAATCAAATATATTCCAGTGGGAAAGCAATGTACAAGAATGACATTCATTTCTCTGCAGCGTCAGTAAACACAACACACGGGCCCACTGATAACTGTGTATCTGTATTCAGAGCAGAATTTTAGGGTGTAGTGACCCTTTAGTATCAGATCTGTGCCTCGCCCCGGGTGCGAGGTGACCATGTGAGGGGCAGCATACCTATCTCGTGTCTCAGCATCCCCTCCAGCCAGTGCTGCCGAGCCCCGGCCAGGTTAATGGTCAGAGTGGGACGACAGCTCTCCACCACCATCACCGCCTGAGACAGCAGCTCGTCAGACAGACGCACCACAACCTGGAGACACACACACATAGACACACATAGACACACATAGACACACATAGACACACACACACACACACACCGTTTTCATCATCATCACCACCAACATCGTTATAATTTCCGCCTGCTTCACTGATGACATTTCATTAGTTCCCCTTTATGACCAGGTTTCTGTTTGCAGAAGATCATTTGTCCACACTGAGCAAACACGATCCACCTTAATTAAACCTGTGTGTGAAGCACTTTGCAATGTGGATTTAGAAAAGTCTGTAAATAAAAATCATCATTATTATTAAATAGCAGCCTTTTCACACTACAGATGACTTATGGGACTGTGGGTGTGTCACTTCCAAGCGGGAACCTCAGGGGCTGAAAAATGAAGCCAACATGGAAGTAACAAAAACTACAGTTCCTCTAATGACCACTAGAGGCTGGCTCCAAAAATGAGTCAATCCCCATAGACTCCAATTTTAAAATGTCCCAACTTTACAGCAGAAATAAACATGTTTATGGCCTGGTACAAAAAAACAGGTTTGGTCTCTACAGCCAATTTCCTCCTTCATGACAACTGTACTGGGATGACACTATAATAATTTCTTGCAGCCCTACAATAAACAAATGTTTGTATAAATGAGTCCCTGTGCTGCTGTGAAGACACACATGGATTCAGGCGAAGTCAACACTCCTACCGACTTCATTTGACTGGCTCAGTGAAGGTGCCAATACAGAGGCTCCAATCAAAAAACACAGGCTTAAATTTTGCTGTCACACAAATTACCGTCACGCTGTTTTGGTCAGTCAAATACCTACGCACTGCACTCACCTCTCCCACACAGCCTTCTTTCTGCAGGTATTTGCGTACAGCAGCCCAGACCTGACTCTTAGGGAGCACGCTGCCCCCCGTCACCTCCTCAAAGTTCTCATAGGAGCTAAACTTCCTCAGCACGCACTCCATGATTCCAACCGCCTGCAGGTAAACAGATACATCATCATCATCATCATCATCATCTTCATGTGAAGGCAGAGGTTGTCTCAGGTCTTTGACCCTGACATACCGTACCTGTTCGAGGAAGAGGCCTGAGCCCTCCCTGTACTTCTCCAGCACACTCCTCGGCTCAGGCTGGGCGTACTCAAACTGAGGCTCGTACTTGTAGTCGGACTGGAAGAAAGCCTCCTTCTCCTGCTCCAGGTTAAGAGGTCTGAGGGCGACCAGCAGACAGGGCCTGGAAGGCGTAGGCAGCGTCGTGCTACCAACCCCTTTAGCTATGTGTGGCAGGGAGGTAGCAGGTCGCATTTGCCCCTTGCCCCCCCGTAGCCCCAGGGAGTAGTTGACTGAGCAGGTGCTTTCACTGCGGCGCATCCAGCCTCCTGCCCCAAGGCTGGGGCTGGTGAGGCTACGAGCTGGGGGTGATGGGGCAGCAGAACCGCTACGCCAAGGAGGCTGCACGATCCGCCTGTCCACCATCTGCTCCTGAGACCCTCGCAGGCGCTGGGGCGTCATCTCCAAGCTGAGGGGGCGGCGGAGCGGTGGTCTGGGGGTGGCCCCACCTTTTAATGATGACGACCTCCTCTCTACCTGGCTGCTGTTCGTCTGGGCTGGAAGTCCGTTGTGGGACACCTTCTCCTTCTTGGCCACATTGCTTCTCTTGGCCGACGGTCTGGCTGTCGCAGCAGAGCTGCTAGTGGTTTTTGGTGGATCTGCTCGGACATCTGGCCCCAACAGGTCCCTGCTCCTCCTGACGCTTTCACCCTCAACCTGATCCATGAAGACTTCACCTGAGTCCAACACCATCACCACGGCTGCAACGCCTCAGGCTGCCCCCCGCTCCGACCCCGACACTGCTGACAGAACAGACACATGAACGTATACTTCTTATTTATGACCGGGCTTCGGTGATATCCATAATGTAATATCTCAATACAATCAATACATCTCAATATACAATATTATTGCAATATTCATAATATTATTGTATTTTATGTTTCAGGTATAAGTGATGCTGCAGTTCAAAGTTTTATTTGTCACATCCCATGGTACAATGTACATCAGGCAAAGCAGTGAAATGAGGATTCAGACTCAGCAGCAGGTCAGACTGTGAAAAACTGCACAAACAAATGTATATTGTGAAAAATATTGCATATGGCAGGAAATGTCCCGTGGGGCCAGAGCCACTGTATGACTTGACTGTTTATATTTCTTGTCTGAAAGTCACAGAGCTCAGTACCTACCACAAGGAGTGTGGGAGTCCTATAAGGAGGGGGGAGGAGGGGCCTTTTACTAGCCTACTAGCCAAAGTGATGGATAGATTAATGAATTAGAAAATAAATAATTAATTTCTTAAATTAAATATTTGCTAAAATCAACACTTGTCTATAATGTGTAGATGAGCTTCCTAACAACTAATGTTACTGTCTACGGCAGGCAGGAAAAATAAAACTCAAGACCTTTGCAAATGAAATTTAAGACCTGAGAGCTCAACGCGCTGCAACTTAAGAAAACGCATGCAAATACACAAATACGCAAATGCAGTGCCATATACCATGAAGGCGTAATCCGAACCACAGCGGCCTGGGTTTGCATCCAACTTTGCGCCATATCATCCCCTCTCTCTCTCTCCGAATTTCCTGACTCTCTCTCTCAATCTCGCTTTCGAAATTAAGGCACAAAATAACTTAAAATAGAAAAAAAGTGATGAAACTGGCTGGGACGCACTTGTTATTCAATGCCTCTAACTTCAATAGTCACAATTGGGCATTGAACAACAATGATTTTGCAGCTGAATTTGCAGCGTTTGTGTATTTGCATGTGTTTTCATATGTTGCAGTGCGTTGAGCTCTCAGGACTACTTTACCTTTAATAGCTCTGAGGCCTTTTGCTGAGCAAACTGGATTCAGTGCTTTTAATGTTTTATCAAATTGTTTCCATTTTGTCCATACGTCAAGAAATTCGATTGTTTAGTGACTAAAATGTTAGAAAATACAAAGAAAGTCTGTACTTATTTTGTGAATCCAAAGATAACATTTTCAGGTTGCTTTGTTCGTCTGACCAAGCGCCCAAAGCCCAAAGATGTTGAGTTTAAGGTCACAGAAAACATTTTGTCATTTTTGATTAAAAACAAAAAAAGGATTAATCAGTTGTCAGAAATGTTATCAATAAATTCTGTGTCAATGAACTGAATGGTCTCTGGGAGTCTGGAGAAACAATGAAGCTGTCATCTATCTTGGGAGTTAAAAGGGGCCCAAAAACGACGTTTTGCCCCAGGTCCCCTCAGGAGGATGCCCCGGCCGTGCATGTGTCTCCGTGTTTTTGGTGGAGACAGAAAAGAAAAGACACTGGACAGTCCATAATGTCTGAGCAGAGGCTCCGCAGGAACAAAGCTCCCTCACAGGTCAGCTAACATGAAGCTAACATGAGCTGAAAACTGTGTTATCAACTGTTGTTAACAGAGACACCAAACCAAACAATAGAAATGAGTTGGCAGTGATTGATTCCCTCAGTGTTTCAGCCCTTTAACTCCAACAACAACTCACAAAACACTAACCTACCAGCGAGTCCCGGGACTTCTGCTGAGGATCTGCGGGTTTCGGCCTCTTCATTCACTCATCACGGCAGCAGACCGAGCGGAGGAGCCCTGTCTGCATTTTTTTTTTTTTACCGGTGGATGATGACAGTCTTTGGGTAACGGTTCAGAGAGGAGCGGGGCCTGAGGCGGCTGCCTGGGCCGGCCAGGAAGCGGCGGTTGAGTTGGAAGATATGACGCGGGACGTACGCCGGGTCCGCCGCCACGACGCTCCCCTCGCGTCGTCACGTACAACACGAAGGGAGGAGGGAGCATGGAGGGAGAAAGGAAAGGCCCCCACCCCTTCCACGCTGGAGCAAGACCCACAGGTTGAAAGAAACTCTTCCTGGTCATTTTACGTCAGTATTTGATTTAATTTTTGTCTCTGTGTTGATTGTCTCTTTTCAGTTGTTTGCTATCATCTTCGTGGTCCTTTACAGCCATTTTGTGCTTCTTTGTCGTTATTTTACATCTATTTCTATTAATTGTTTATCTCTGTGGTCATATTGCATGTGTTGGTGTTCACTCTGTGCAGAGTCAGTCTCGTCTTGTTGGTCTTTGTGGTCGTTTTGCATCTCTGTGGTTGTTTTGCATCTGTTTTTACTTTGACATTTTTCTTATCAGACATGTAGTTGACTTTACAACAAGAAATATTTACTCACTTCACACAGATTCTAAACTGGTCCTGGTCCAGGGGTAACCTGAGTTCAGTAATGTGCTCAGGCTTTATGCATACTCTATAAAATATGGTGAGGTATGTTTCAGTGGTTTCTACAAATTTGATAAGAAAGTGAGCGAAATGAAATGATTCATTTGTCGCACATGGAAGGCCATTTCCACCTGGAAAAGGGAAAAATAGATGAAACATTAGGTCAGAAATAAAAAAAGAAAACTCATAGTGAGTCAAAATCTTAATGAAGGAGGATTTATTATGAGCTCGCCAAAATTTATGTAACACACCTTTTCTGTATATAGTTGCATCAGCTAAATGTTACCACGTGCAAAATAAGAAGGAATAATTACACTGATGACAATATAGAATGAAACTCGGGAGATGGTGGTTGTGTAGAAAAGGTGCCATGTATTAAAAAATTAAAGGAAAACAAAACAGAAAATATACATAACATATGGCCACACAAAAATATCCAAGAACCAATAGCAGCTCATAATTAACTATCAAAATCAATCCCTTCTCTGTACAATGACCATGAAGCTAAATTATTAAAGCCTCCAAACAATCATCAACCAATAACGTTGGACAGAAACAATAGAAATAGAAAGGAAAATAACCTTTCAATGCACCACAGATTCACACAATAGGAGGAACTTAGTTCATTTTTCCTAGCACAAGGGAAACAGTAGAAAAGGGAAATTGGGAGTTTGCTGGGTGAGATGTGTGGCTGTGAATTGGGGTAGGGATGAATGATTAGAGTCTGGCTGCAGGGTGACCTACCGCATCAGGATTATTGGTCAGTTCAGACCTCTGTGTCCATGTTGGATTAGCTCGCCATCACAGTGCTCCATCGAAGGCTTCGTACTCAACAACAAACCTGGCCGATTCCGGGATTCAGACCTTTCATTCAACAGGGTTTCATGAGCTTCATTGACATCTGCTGCCAGTAACACGTTTAACCACCTCATGCTCGACAGATTGTATATCGAATGCAGTTGTTGAACAAATGTTTCCAGCACCGACCTGCAGCAGCTCTTCTCCTTGCAGCGCCACCATTCATCTATCTACATGTATGTAATGTAGGTTGCCTGTCTGATTGGGTGCCAGGTGCACCGCAAGATTTACCACAAGATTTACCACTAGATTTACCTATAGCTACAGCCGCTGCTTACAGTTTACATTTTACCCGTAGTGACCTGGGTTATATGTAGGTTTCACCTGAAAAGTAAAAAAACTGACTTTGTGTCTCATAGTTTTTATTTTAAAAGTTACATTATTTTTTTTATCTTCACTGCAGCTCAGCACACAAACACTGTCTGGCTGCTTATACCCACGTTATTTGATGAACTGCGACTGCTCACACCTCATTATAGCTTCAGATGAACTTTTGACTCTGGGTTTGGTCCTTACATTGGTGCATTAGGGAGTAGTCACACAGCCTGCATGTCTTAAGGTATACATGGCTCAACTGACTATTGTTTCAACACAGACCTGAAAACAAGTGAACATATCCTTTAGTGCAGGGTGCACTTTAACATCCTTATACACGTGATAATTATATTATTTGTCCATGGTAAATATTGTCAAACAAACTTAGAGCATCTGTGGCCACAGACAAATACCTGACAAGGTGGTAACAATATGAGATGAATGACGTGTGGCTCTGTATTTGAATGAATTATTGCAGCTGTGCACACAATGTGTACTTTGTCATGATTTGGATTAGGCTGTTAGTTCCAGTGATGGGAAATCTGAATGCTACAGCACACAATGATGTTTTACAGTATGTCCCAGTGCACAAAGCTGGGTCCATGAAATATGTCCATTGTTAAGATGTAAAGCTCCATGAGGCAAGTTTGTGATTGGTGATATTGGACTATATTAATTAAATTTTACTTGACTTGACAATGTCATCACTCGTATCGGTGCAGAGAGCAGTGAGTCCTACAGGTCAGAGTGGTCGGAGGGTTAAAAGTGTGATTTTGAATTCAGCACTTTTACTTTATTAAGTCCACGCATGTGCCAGACAGATTGGCAGCACGTCTTTGTAGCTCTTTTTTTCTAATAATCTATATATTTATTTGATATTTGACTCTCTGTGTTAACTGATCGCTTGTTCTTAACCCATGTATCTATCTATCTATCTATCTATCTATCTATCTATCTATCTATCTATCTATCCTCATCTCAGCTGGATACTGTGGAGTTAACAGATACTGTACGTCCAGAAATCAGTAACAGATTAATACGAACCACTTGGTCTCTGCACCAGAGATACTGGATCACACTATAACAACAATCGCAGCAGAGTCTCATTTGCTTTTTACTTTGCATTTGTGAAAGTTGACGTGCAATAACCTTTGTCCATTAGAATGTGTGTCAATCGTTGCCCAAATTATACCTTTCACATGCGTGCCATCTATTCACGGCATGCCTTTTGTGTTTCCAGCTGCAGCCACATGAGGACCTCTGCTGCGTCAGCCAAAGTAATGAAGAACTATGCATTGTGTATATAGTTCTTTGTATTGTGTCTTTTTTCACTTAAATACAGCATATATAATACAGTTAAATGATACAGGTATAGAGTGAATTACTGATGTTGAATTAGAGATTTGTCTTGTGTATCTGTATCTTGTGTTTTAATTAACTGTATTTACATTTAGTTGTTTTGTTTTATTTTATCATGTATGTTACAATAATATTTTGTACCATCAGTGATTTTTTTTATTTTATTTGAATAAATGCAATATGAGTAAAGTCATGTTAAAGGTGGATTAAAACAGCATCATTGGTTCTCAATAAGCCATTTCTTTAAATTATACTTAAATGAATAACAGGCTTGGGACTTTCTAATGGTGGTGATACTGAATCCCATTCATGTGATGCTGTGAAGGAAAAGACAACCTGGCTGAAGGCAGTTTTTCTTGTGCAGTCTCTGGCTGCACTTCCTCCTCCTCCTCCTCCTCCTCCTCCTCCTCCTCTGAGGAGCTAAATGCATGATCTTGTGTCCATGCATAATCGTATAAGCTTGGCAAACATTTGTGTATTTGATTAGGTTTTCCCAAATAAGCAGATTACACTGAATGGCCTCTTGTCTAAAGTTTTAAGTGTTTGTTTGTATAATGATTCCAGTGATAGTAAGGATCTGAAGTTTGTATTAGACCAACTTATCAGACAATAGGCGGTGCTTCTAGAAGAGGAAAAGACGTGATAAGCAAAACAAGAGAGATGCTTTCCACCTCTGGGGACAACTGTTGGTGAGTAAAGAAATTAAGTTTTCTTGTTTTGTTGAACACTGTTTCCTCTAGACTGGTAAGTAAACAGCTGTTAATGCTAACGTTAGCTATATAGCAATAGCAGAACCTACAAATAGCTGCTCTTGGCCACCATCTTTTTTTGAAAAATAGTTGACATGGAAATATTTATAGAAAGTCATTTGTGCTAAACCAGATTGAGTTGATATTGTGACGACCCCTTCACCAGCGCACTCGGTGTCCCTGTTTCTTTTTGTTGTTTTTCCCTTTTCAGGTGCTGAATGCAGAGATCTCATTAGCCTGATGTGCTACACCTGGGCCCAGTGTGCACCATAAAGGCATTCCCAATCAGTCCTGTCAAGGGCTCAAAGTCAAATAAGCTTTATTGACATGACAGATCAGAAACCTATATTGCCAAACCAGTACAGAAAATTATAAACAATGACAGCTGATTGATTAATGATTATACAATAATATGCAAATATCAACAATAATGTTAAATACAATATAATAAAAGGCATTTTTTACAGATGTAATCACACAGAAACATGTAGGCCTAATACAGAGCTTGTTTCTCTCAGATTATGACAAGATTTAACATATTTTGCAGCTATTACTGCACATTGACTTTACTCCACACATATGACAGTTTTGGGGAGGTGGATAAACTCAGGATATATATGATTTATATTTTTGAAGAAAAAAAAAGTAAATTTTTATGTATATGTGGTCCTTTTGATACCCAGACATTATTTTATTTCATTTTCATTTTTTTTAAATTTATTTGTTTCCAATTACATTAAGTATTAATCTATTTATGGGGGTGAGGGAGATATGTGTTGTCCTGGTGTTTTTACTTGTATTTTTGATTTTAATTCTTTCATTTAATTTTATTCATTTGATTGTGAAGCACTTCACGACTATTGTTTGTGAAAAGTGCTATATGAATAAACTTTGGTTGCTTTTCCCCTTTTCAGTTGTGAAATGTCTTTTTTCTTATCTTATCCACATCTGACCTTATCCGTGGGAAATAAGAATAATGCATTTTGAAATGCTTGTAATGTTTTAAACTCTTATAGACACTCGCTTGATTTGTTTCATTCAGACTGCAGAGCCTCATATTTTCTTCAGATGGACTTTAGAAAACTGTGGATTTTATCCTCCATCACTTCTACTGAAGTTGCGTTAGCAAGGGATTTCTCTGCTGCCAGGATGGACAAGAGGATCAATTACAGCCACCAAGAATTATTTCAATGTACTTACACTACGGGCATGTGAGTACTGTTTTAAAATAGACTGAAAAAAATGTAAATCTATCCTCTAACTATCAGGGTGAAAGAGCAAAAGAGGTCCTGTGTGACAAAGCAAGTGCCAAACATCATATTTGTAACAAGTGAGGCTAATGTTAAGATCGTTATCCACTAAC